TTTCTAGACCACATTAACGAAACCTGGCAGAATGAAACGCATACTTACAGCTTCGGACATGCCAGAGAGTGTTGCTGACCCATTGATGGTGCGGGCGCAGCTTGTACCGTTATGGTCGGGGACAAGACGAGAAAGAGTCGTAAACGCATCGTCGCTCGTCGTGACGAGTGCATACGTGAGAAGAGTATGAAATGAGAGATTGGGCGAAATTTGTACCGTATAACTAGTCAAGTGTTGAAGAAAATTAGTATGTTAAGTTCGTGGGCGAGAGCACCTTTCTTGCGCAGACCATCCACCCTAACACATCCTCCTATCTTGCGAGACCTCCCCTCGTCGCAGGTGTGTTCCCTTTAATGGTTCTATCGTCTCAGAACTAGGTACTGCGATCATTGTAACGGGGCATTGACACCTACGTACTGGTCTACCAGTACGGAGTAAGTTTCACTAACAACAGGTAACGTCTGTGCCATGCTATGTGTTGCACTCTAGTCGTGGTAAAATTAACACTGTTATTCAATACAATTCAGTCCTATAACTCGTGTTTCTCTTGTTCGTCCTGACTAAATTAGATTGATATAACTAAACGTATGATGACGTCTACTTAACGCCCATTGCGCGCGTCTAGCAGCGATTGGTGGGTTAACATCATCTCAATATCCACCAATGAGTAGACTTTTCGGTCATCTCAACAATTTTACTATGCTTAGTAATATTGTTAAAGAATATAAAACGTCATATTCTTTATTGTCATTTTCTTCCGAATGACAATGCCATGTAACGGGCTGCCCCGTTACACACATTGTGTCAATTGCATCTCGACACACTTTGAGTAGCCTTTTTAACCATAATATGGACGTTACATGATGAAGGAGAGAACAAGATCCATCACAAATGCCTTGGGTCGAGAAGGGTCGTTTTTGCGAGGTTGCGAATCATGCAGATGTTGATATTGCTGCAACAAATGTCAAAGCTCGCAGTCAGATCAAAATCATTGCAGGATGAGAAGTGTGAACACTTTCTCAATGAGGTGCCGACATGATATCTCAATAAGCTCATCACGCATGTATGGAACAGACTCTTTTTTAACAGAGCGACCCTGGTCGCTAGAGAAAAACAATTGGAGAGCTGGGCTTAACTTTTATGCAGATAAAGCGCTTTAGTGGAACACTATTTCAGCCTCTGACGGATCTCTTCGAGTCGGGATATGAACCGGAGGCAGGCAGCCGCGTGTTTTTCTCGGCGGTCCTCTCCCGCGGGCCACAATAGCTACATCCTGAACGGGTCATGTGTCTACGCTTGCGAAAGCAGAATACCTGAAACAGCAGAACGCGATATTGGCATGGACGGATCCAGTTGTGGCCTGCCTTAACTCGCACAAGATCGAACCCACATTGTATCTCCTGTTGGAGGTCTTTCTTCGTAGTGACATCGTGCACAGCTTCTGGTGCTATGTATGTAGCATTTGAATCATGCCCTGCGTGCCAGCAAATACCACGTGCTCATGTACTAAGGGCAGTCTCAACTAAGGCGTGCGAGACTGCCTTCCCTTATTGAGTGGAGTAGAGAGAAGATGCAGTGCGATTGAGTTTACTCACTCTTCCCCTTTTATCGGGCTACGTACCGTTGTGATCGATGTTACCAGATAGACGTCGACCACTACGTGCGCCATTCAGAGTGTTGGTCTCATATCGGGCTGAAGTGTGTGTAGACCTTCGCGTGGCTTGACTCGTTTTGTAATGTAAGTGCGCATCTTTTCTTCGTTGCTCCTACAAGCGACGGAGTGGACCATTGCTGGGTGTCACCTGCTACCAGACGCCAGCTACGTTAGCTGCTCGCAAAGCCAGTAGACCGTCTCTTGTGCAAATTGCGGCTTCTTGGGGCTCAAATCGAAAGAGGCTCTTACTGAAACACTCTATGTCTCCTCAGTCGCGAAAGAGCTTGTCACAATTGACTTGACACACATTGCCTCGTTACCATGTAGGCGAGGTGTCTCAAGATTCGACTTGAGTGCAACCCTTGTCGTGATGGCGCACGTTAGCGTTGGTAGACAAAGACTAGACGAGCACGTCTCACGTACAACGTCACGTCGTCCAAATCGGTTCACGACAACTGTTGCGATTCTCTGCAATAGACTTCCTGAGCAAACTACGCTTATTTGCAGGCGTAGAACGAACTTCCTTCGGTGATCAAAGCAGTGGTAGCGGTACGAGCAGCTGCCCGACGCAAGTGAAGGACCAAAGAGAGGACCGGTTCATGACATTAGCTACCGTCGCAATCAATACAAGCGAGAAGGCAGACAGGCCATGCGCGATGCGTGTAGCAGATACGACGCAAGTGAAGGACACAAACGTAGAATGGATGGTAGTTGCGCCAGAGGTGAGCAGAGAGGTATCAAGTGATTAGCTCTTCGTTTGTGAAGGATAACGGTTGCCACGTCATTGTTGGTCTTATCTGGACCCAAAGAGACAACCGCTTCCCTGCAGCTTGGGATCTCCATTCACCAGCGTGATCTATTTGTACGCAGCAGCGGTAGACCTGAACGAAATGAATGACAAAGAGGAAGAAAGGTTGTTCATTACGAAAATATTCATGACGAGACATAAGTCCTCGCACGAACAACGGCTACCGCAAGCATCCGATTTACCTTCTCAGTAAACGTGTCGTACCGTTTTCTTGCATCGTGTGGTCTAAGGACATCGTCTGGCCGCCCACAACGGCACGACCATTTGCCAGTAATCGAACATTCTTGTAGTTCTTGAGCTTGTTGTAGTTCTTGCAAAGCAGAGCCCGACATGCCTTAGAAACCAGAGCCCGACCTGCTGTCCGATGCAGAGCCCGACATGCTTTCGAAGCCAGAGCCCGACATGCTTCCCGAATCAAAGCGCGACTTGTGTTCCCAGGCCGACACGCTTTCCGCAGCCGACATTCCGGTCGGCGGACCGTTCGTCAGCGAGGCCCTCTTCTTGAGGGCCTGGTACATCAGCGCACTAACCCCCCCAACTCCTGTAATCAGTGTGGCCCAAGCAAGTGCTTTGAAAATTGAAAACCTATCTTCCCCGTCGCCTGACAGTGCCACAAGCTTTTCATACAGCTTCTTTGTTTGAGCAGCGGTGAGCTGTACACGACCCGGGACTTTCGCCGGCGACGGAGCCTCACGTATAGACTGCTCCTCGTGCTTCTGTTTCTTGTACAAAGGACCGTCGTCCAGTGACTCTTCATCTGCTCGGGTTGTTTCTTGGCGAAGACGGCGGATGTCAATGCTCTCGTCGTTACGACCTTTTGCCAAGTAGTGATCGGCACCGGTACAAGTGATGCAGCTTGCAACAAAGGTGGCCCCGAGCAGGGCAAGAACGACGCGAAGGCGCATGTCGGTTGTATGGTCACACACTTCGGGCTGGATGCAAGCTATTGAATGTGCTCCTGGCGGGTGGGGTCACGAAGAACGACCCCTTCTTAAAACACATGTGTTAGTGGCAGTCCCTACATTTGGAGTATATACCTCGAACCGATCAAAAGAATATTACTTGAGTTCAGAATGAGTGCGGAAGACGACGGCCTCAATTTCATACAGCAGGCTATCCATAGGCGGCGATACGGGGATATAAACACCGCGCCGCCTTGCCGTTCCAATGTTTCAAGAGGTTAGCAATTGATAACTGTCGCTATTCCGAAGTATGTCATTTTGTAAAAAGGGAGAAGGCAGACTGTCGATGAGAGCTTCTTGTCGCTACTTTAGATGTCAGTTGTGTGGAATCCACCTTAGTCATCTACCGTGAGACGAACTGTCTCCTACCGCGTTCCTCATTCTACTTGCTCAATGCTCCAGGCGACACTCTCGGAAGATCACTTAAGAACGGCGGGTAACTAAGTCCGGGATTTACCTTTGTGCGCACTCCTGGCCGGATGGCTGGGCTGCTCGTCGCACTTTCATCTGCTTAAGGGGACCGATGACGCACGGCTAGGAGGGCTGGTCCACTAGGAAGCCCGAGCATCCCATCTTGACGTAGATCCTGGCCGCTTTTGTGGTGGCCGACTCCTCTGCTCTTGGGGTCAATCCCATTGCACATTCTAGTGCAGACGTGCCCAGGTACGCCTCGGGACAAAGAGTATCTTGGCCTGGTGCTTGCTCTGTGTGAATGATCGAGACTGGATCTCAACAGGTCATCACGTTCGTAAGGGATGTAACTACGAGAGAGTGGAATTTACGCGCAGCGAACCATTTGATATGCCGGAAGGCAAGTCGTATAGAGCAGTAACTAACGTAGGCACGGGGATGTCGATCTCTGTCGGCATGTCCCGTATTGCGGGATATCGGCGGGTCCCTTCCTGTTCAGGTCACACGCTGCGTTGCCTCCCGTAGCACGCGCAGCGGAGACAACGCCTGGACTTTTAACCTATACTCACGAAGGAGGGACATCCCGTCAAGGTCAGGGGCCAAATTACTGGCTCTAAGGAGGTCCTAGTCTCCGTCCGTTGTTGCTCAGAGAGCTTAGACGAGAAAGTGATATTTCAGGCAATCGGACTGCCAGGGTTGTTCATTGATGTTGCGTTTGGATCCGCGACACATCCGAACGGTCTATTTTCTGCAACGCGTGTCGCGTTGAGAGCCATAAGTTTGTGAGGACCGTGGGAGTTCAAAAGCTGGCTGACTTCCTGTCTGCCTTGATTTCGGCACCTTTGTAATGCTTTGCCGCTACTAGCGACTGGACGACACAATTACTGCGTCATTTTTGCCGTTAAAATAATAGAGACAAATAGGACCGTTGGTCGGTTCAACGGGGCCCAAAATATGAACTGAACCGACTTGCACCAATTAACATAAGACCTGATAGCTGGACCACACCCTTTTGACAATTGGGCCACACCATTTTGACATTTGAACCACCCCCCCAGCGGACTCCCCCCATCTGAACACTCTGAAGCAACGATCGCGTAATTCGGTGTAATATCTATTCAACATAATCTGTGTAAACAAAAGGAATGCTAAGGAGCTGTAAAAAATGGATTGGAAAGTCGCATCCGAGCGCTTCTGCCGGTCCATTTCGCATTTAGAGACCAACTTAACAGAACGCATTGAGACTCATGACGTCGAGCTGTCGGATCTCACGCTCGGCGGAAACGACTACGTGGAATTCCTGCGCAAAATGATGACTGTGTCGGTGTGTTTCTATACGTAGTAGTGAGCTATTCCTGTGACGCTGTCGAAGCAGAGTGACAGAACAAACCTAACAAACCGTTTAATATGGACAACTGATACGCTCATTTGGTCTTGTGCGGTACTGTCTCTATGCAGGAACAAGTCCAGAACGTGTCGGGATTAGGGCTCGTGCGCACGAAAACCTCGTGTCGGACTTTGTGCTGGAAAAGCTAAAGCCATTTGTGTGCGCAGAGCTCACAATCGACCGACTCGAGTTTGTCGAAGGGCGGGCAATGTCACTTCTAGGTACGCGCCGCTTTTGTCGCGTGCTATGGACGAGACACTGGCGCTCGTGGGGGCCCACATGGACGTTGTGCCGGCCAATCCGGAAGGCTGGTAGCAAGATCCCTTCACTCTTACTGCTAGAGGCGACAAGCTCTATGGACGCGGCACAACGGACTGTCTCGGACACATGGCGTTATTGACATGTACGAGTCGATTAACGAAAATTATTGAAGAGGACGTGGGGATTGCCATTGCTATTGCTACTGATGCTGTAGGTGTTTTTTCTCTGTTGGTGTGGCTCTTTTGAAACTATTTTCGTCTCTGTGTTCAGTGCTGTTCCCTGAATTCGCGAGACACAAAGTGCCGACGAAGACACAGGTCTTGTGCGTCCTCAGTTAGTCTAAGGAAATTGGCGAGATCGAAGGCGTGAGGGTCAACGCATTGATGGAAACTAGCAATATTGACTTTTTACGAGAAAGGACCAGTGTTCTAGGTCGACTGCTTCGATAGCCAGCCGTGTATTGGCACAGTAGGGGCCATCATTTGGACACTTAAGGCTACTGGCAAGCTGTTTCACAGCGATCTGCCGTCTCTGGGTATCAATGACCCGGAACTGGCAATAAAAGCGATCACAAAGATCCAGGAGTACTTGACAAGGTGTTTGGACCAGTAAAAAAGGAAGCCGAGTACAACTACTCGTGCCCGTCGACCATGAAGCCTACGCGCATTGAATGAACGGTCAACGGACTCAAGTAAACGTACAATGAATGACGACCTGACGAGTGCCGGGTGTGTGTCTGTTTGAACTAAAGAGTGGGTGTTTGTGGTCTGCTGCAGTCCACCATGGACAAGGTTGCTGGTGACGTGCGTCTGTCTCCGTTTTACGACATGAAGGAGGTTCGTCGTGCAATTCGAGCTGGTTGGCTGCAGTGGCTAGACACTGACGTGTGCATACGTGCAGATGGTCACCAAAATGACGTCGTTTGTTGATCATCTGAACGCAAACATCGCGTCGCTGGAAGGCACCCGCGGTCCAGTATTCAAGCACACGCTCCCGACTGAAGGCATGGCTGGTAAGCTAGAATTTGTGTTTGATACGAGCTATTACGAAGGCATCGCGTGCTTATTGGACTCGGTTGGATACACGTACGCGCGCGTCGCACATGTTTACGGCTTGACAAACGTGTACTGACGCATGACCATGTCCTTTTCGAGCCTATAGGGCCCTCCATTCTGCGATCGGCGACGTTTTTGGAGAAGTGGTGCCGTTTTTCATCAGCGGAAGGTGAGACATTGAATTGCCGTACGAATGGACATTGTAAACTAACGTGACCTCTCACAGACTACCTCTGGTTCGAGACATGCAACGTGGTGGCTTTGACTTGACGCTCGTGGGATATGGCAAGAGCTCAGTGTATCACGGCGACAACGAGCACTGTCTGCTGAGCGACATGAAGAACGCAATGTTAGTCCGTCCTTGCGTGCACGATTGCGAAGGTCGAGTCTACTCAAGAGTGACGGATCGGTAGGAGTGAAAACAGTGGCTCGTGATGTGTGTCTGCGTATCGTCTGCATCAAGGACAAGTAGTTGTGCGGTGAAGGCGCTGGGGATGGACTGCGCTTGCAGTGGTATGGAAAGATGAGTGAAGGCAAGTTGATGCTTGGGAGCAGGTACATGCGACAGCTGTTGATGATGTCGTGTGCGTCACGGACGGTCTTTGAGGAGAGGGAGGCGTCAAAGTCAACTAGTAGTGATACGAGGTTCGAGTGCTTACGGAGACGTTCACGCACCTGTTGGCTGTAGACGATTGTGTCGTCGGTGGTGTAGAAAGATGAGTGTTCGTTGATGCACTTGTTCCAGAAGATGTAGAAGTAAAAGAGAATATATTTAAGCATTAACCTCCCTCGTTCGTTAATACCTACACATGCATGCGAAACGGACTGCAACTATACCGTCTATAGTGCACGTCTATCCCGCTCCGTCCCACCTGTTACGACATCGACAAGACGGCATGGTAATCTCGTCGCCTCGTCTCATATGTCGCAACATCCTGGTGGTCCGACGTGGCGACATCGTCGCCTCGTCCCATCTGTCAAGATGTTAAACTTGTTAGCCAATCAGGTACGATTGTAACTTACCGTGTCACGGGGTATTGCCCTTGACCCTCGCGACTTGTCAGAAACGATATCTTCTAACACTCCTCCTTAAACGTATCCGGAGGGGTCTTCAACTTAAACATCGCGCGCAGATCCTTCATCCTTGGTGCCGGTAGTGCCTTAGTCAGGAGATCAGCAATCATCTCCTCTGACTTGATGAAGCGTGGTTCAATCTCTTTTGCTTGTGCGTAGTGGCAGATAAACTTGAAACGAATATCCACATGCTTGGCACTTGACAAACTCTTCTCGGTCTTCAACAAGTTGATGGCTGCTTGGTTATCCATCCACATCGGCATTGGCTTGACGATTTTCATGTTTAACTCGCCAAACAGCTCCTTCAAACCCAGTAGTTCGCGACCAGCGTGAGACGCTGCAATGAACTCAGCTTCCATTGTGCTTAGCGACACCCCGGTCTGCTTCTTGCACGCCCATGAAACGACAGCGCCATCCACAGTAAGGACGTATCCAGTGACCGACTTGCGGTCCGACTTGTCCGCAGCGAAGTCCGCGTCGCTCCAGCTCTCAATCTTGATTGGGACGTCCACGCCTTGTGAACTGTTGATGCACAGCTTCAACGTCTTGGTCTCCTTCAGATACCTCGCGACTCGTTTCGCCGTTCTCCAATCCTTGACCGTCGGCTTGTGGGTCTGCCGGGTTGCCCGGTGTACCGCAAAACAAATGTCCGGTCGAGTACAACGCGCAATCCACAGTAAACTTCCGACGAGTGACTGAAAGGCCTTGATGCTTGCATCTCCATCCTTGGCGGTCGGCTTTAATGACTCTGAGTTCGACTCATCGTCGTCGTTGCATTCGTTTCCGATTGGAGATCGAACACCGTTAGCAGTAGCCAGTCCATGTTCCTTTAGCAGTGAGTCGATGGTAACCTCTTGGTCCAACACGTAGCCTTCATTTTCGTTCAGCTTGACCCTCAGTCCGAGGAACTTGTTCACAATGCCGAGGTCCTTGATCTCGAGAGATGCCATGTCCTTGAAAAATTGTCCGACGACAGCGTTCGAAGTTTTAGTCACCAGTAGGTCGTCGACGTAAACACCGACAACCGTTACATCCGTACCGGTTCGGTTGACATAGAGGCATATGTCCGTCGTGCATTGTTTAAAGTTTAACTCGGTCAGCTTGGAGTGCAGTAGTTTGCTCCACAATCTTCCAGCTTGTTTCAAGCCATACAAAGACTTCTTGAGCAACAGTGCGAGCTGTTTGGTCGCGTCCACACCATGATAGGCCAAGGTGTCTTCGTTAACTTGCATACCACTTGGTATCTTCATGTAGATGTCGAGGTCCTTTTCCTGATCGGCCTTGACATATGCGTTTAGCACATCGCCGTGACGAGCAGGCATATTCCATCTGCGTGAGAGGACCAGTATCACCTTGACTGTCCCGATTTCCATAACCGCGACAAATGTCAAGGTGTAGTCGACTCCAAACAATTGCTCGTTTCCACATGCAACGAGTCTGGCCTTGTATCTCTCGACATTCCCGTCAGCTTCGGTCTTTGTCTTGAAAACCCATTTATTGTGGAGTATGTGGGCGTTGTCAGGTGGAACGACAACCGCTCACACACCGTTCTCCTCCAGTGCGTCGAGTTCATCCTTGATGGCCACAGCCCATTTATCCTTGCTGTCGCTTCGCACAGCCTCGCCATAGTTTTTTGGGTCCCGAACAGCGTTGACGATGTCGACACCCTCACCTGAGATAGTGACTTCGCTTGATGTATCTTCGTCATTTCGGCGTGATCGTGTCATGTGTGGATCACGAGTCCATTCTGATGGCCTTGCACTTGATTTGCTCGTGCCATCTTGGTCACCGAGCTCTTCCTGACCTTCGGTACCATGTAACGTTTTGGTCATGTTTGGCCTTTGGATGTTATCCAAGGTTTCGACGTTTTTCACGTGTTGAGTCACTACCACCACATGATCCATTGGTATGAAGACCCGATAGCCTTTCATTTCATCGCTTTTCCCGATGATGATCCCCTGTTTGCCACGGGGACCCAATGACTTGTTCGAGGTCGTTCGATGCACAGTGCATGAGGACCCGAAAAACTACAATGTCACTTAAGACGGGTGTCTTCTTGGTTAGCATCTCGATGGGTGAGGTGCTACCTTCGTTAGACTTGGTGGGACTTCGATTTAAGATGTATGCTGCATATTCTGCAGCATCACCCCAAAACGTCAAGGGTAACCCACTTGCAAACACCATGCTTCGCACCATATTCATGATAGTGCGATACGTGCGCTCGGCTTTGCCATTTCTGGCCTGGTTGTCACGCTTGCTTACTTGGCGAGAGACACCGACTTCCTTGAAAAAAACATCCAGAGGCTTGTACTCGCCTCCACCGTCTGTACGTAAAACGTGTATACGGCTATTAAATTGACGTTCGAAAACCACCAAAAAAATCTTGAATTGCATCGCAGCAGCATCTTTGGTCTTCGCTAGGAACACCCGGCAGTAATTCGACCTGTGATCAATGAAATTGATCAGGTATCGATTGCCGAGTCGATCACGGGGGGTCATAGGACCTTTCTGGTCTGAACAGACCACGCCTCCGATCACGTCAATGGGTGAATTCAAACCACTGTCCTTCCGCGATTGTCGGTTCTTTGTCTGCTTGCCTTGTGAACAGGCTAAGCACTTGACGCGCTTGGTATCAGTCAGTTTGATACTAGATGCGGGATCCCGAGCCATCTTTATGATGGTGTCGTAGCTTAAGTGCCCTAGACAGTGATGAAAATAAAACAGGGTTCCATGTTGAACGTCGTTCCTTGTGCTACTCTTGATGTCGTCGACGACCGTCATGATAGCTTCTCTTGGTGATCCGAAACCATGGGAACCATTGGTCGTAGCTCCAGTGAAAACCTTAACGACCAGTACACTATTGATCCGATCGACATCCATGATAGGTAGTCCACCGGATTGCGAAACCATGACACGCCTCCCTTCTCGATACTCAAGGATGCATCCCTTCGACTCGAGTTTCCCAAACGAGATGATGTTGCACTCCAACTTTGATGCGTATTGAACATCGAGAAGACGTATTGTCTTAGTTAATCCAAGTGCTTTGACCCGGGTCATCACACTTCCTTGCTTGGTGATTCGAAGTGGTTCACTGTCCGACGCAGCGGTGAAGCATTTGGTGTTGCAGTCCACCGCATCTTCCAGCAAGCTCAAAGCGTTAACCAGGTGACGACCTGAGCCGCTGTCCAGCACCCAGTGACTTGGCGAAATCGTCCGATGTACTGGGAGAGCCAAGACGAAATCTGCATCTTGCTTCTTCTTGGTACCTTTTGGGCAGTTCATCTTGAGATGCCCGGTGCTGCCGCACAGGTAACACTGCTTAAATCGCTGTGGACCATGTTGTTTCTTGGTCCGTTCGATCCTCTTGGGTTGTTTGTTTGGTTCAACAATGTTGACAACATCCCGACCGAAGTGCTTCACGCGAACTTCAAGTTCCGTTGACTGTGCGAATTGCGCGAGCTCTTCAGCTTGACGAAGATAGTCAATCCTGTTCAAATTCAGGCGGGACAACATAGTCGTCCGCATGGCTGGATCGTCATAATGCACGATGTTGTCCAGTACGAGGTTGTCCGCACCTCCACATGCGTTGCTCACAGCGGTCAGGTACAGGAAGTGTTCGGTCCAGCTGCGCTGGGGTGACTTGGCAGCAGTAAACAGCTTCATGCTCTGGGCAGGTGTTATCTTGGTGTTGAAGGTCTGGAGTAACCTTTGCAATGCATGCTCCAAGGTTTGGCTCTCAGACCACCAAGTTTCCACCTGCCGCCGGTAATACTTCTGCGCCGTACCAGCGAGGTGTTGGCCGAGGACATCCACCTTGATATCTTCAGGCCATCCAAAACCGCAGGCGCGTTCCGAGAACGCAACCTGCCGGACAAATTCCTTGCCCCATTCAATGAAACCACTCCCAAGACCATGGTAGAGCTCCTTTCCATCGAAAGGTTGCAAAGCCAGCTTCCTCTGGCGTCCATCCGGTACACCTTGGTGTACATGTCCGGGCTGGTGTTGCACCGGACCTGGTACTTGCATACCCGGGTATACTCCCGCCGGCATGGCATGTCCCTGAATTTCTAGGCTCGAGACCCCGAGCCATTCCATGGTTGACATTTGCCTGGGCCGGCGCGTCAACCATGTGTTCCCCGGCCAGAGCCGGTCGTCGGGCACCGAAGTAGATGGCCGGCGAGACATTCGGTGAACGTTTAGGGGGTGGGGTACGCTCCAAAGCCTGAAGTGTTATATCTGCCCCTGAACCGAAAACCGAACCAAAGACGCTCGACTCCGCAGATTCCATGCGTTGGCCTCCAACTTGTTCGCGTTGGGAGGATTCCATTTTGCCCATCCG